CACATTTTACTAGCTAACTCTTCTAAAAACTAGACTGAAGAAAACAAAACTATTGATAAATTAATCTTCAGAGAAAATTACATATCTTTGGCTAAATAACTAGATTAACAAAGTAAATTATGAAATCAAATAGATAATATATTCAAAATAGTTCTATTAACAAAACAAAAACAAATACACAATATATTAAATAATTATATTGACAAACTATATGAGAAAAAGCAAACATATAGTTGACCAAATGATTCTATTCAACTATATGGAGAGAAAAAAAAAAGACATAATATATTAAATAATTCTATTAACAACCATATATTTTACTTAAAAATTCTATTAACAATTCTATATAGGAGAACAGAATACACATATGCAGATATTTTAAGAATCCCCTCCAGACAGCAGATGGAATTTGAACTGTCACAATAACAACAAATAATAATGAAGCATTTCAAAAGCATCTACAACAGTTTCAGCAAATTCACTCTGTAACGAAACCATGCAACAACAAAATATTTCAAACAAAGCAGTCAACGTGAACAAAAGAAATTGGTAAAATTACAACATCAGCAACAAAAATCAACTGAGCAGTGTGGCGCGGACAATCCAAATGTCCATGGGGAAGTTTTCTTTATTTATACTGTTAAAATTTGTTAATTAAAAAAAAAAAAAATCATTATGATAATTTGAAAACATGGTGATTACAATGTACTGCAAAATACAAGCACATCCTGTTTTATCATTCATATCTTTACATGGAAGCAAACACATGAGTTCACTCTCATGAAAGAGAGATGATGACAATTTTAAAATGAGCCAGGCAGGATCTTCCTGGCCAGACAAACAACAGCCAGGTAGGATCTCCCTGGCCAAGACAATTAACAATTGCACATGAGCTGTGTGAGAAACCTGGCAAGCACGTACACCTAACATACTGTATGTTACATGTGACTCAAGAATAAAGGGTCTAGGGAAATCAATTCTAATCAATGAAAAACAAAACACTTGAATATAAAACAACTCTCAACAGCTGTAGAATTATTGAACACACATCTTACAGAAACCCAAACAATGAAGAGTGAAAAACAAATCTCATTCTACATTTAATATAAGTTAATATGGCTTCTCTCTCCAAGCATGACAGACAGTCATTAAAAGTTATTTCAGTTGTCACCAACAGTCAGTGGTGTATTCACATTTGCCATGCTTCCTGGCAACACAATATTTTACAACACTGGACTGAATTATATATTTGCCACTTTGAAACACCCTGGAACTAGTTTGGGCTGATGAAGGGGAGGGCTGGTGAGTGCCAGATGCAACCTTCAAACCTCAGAGAGGTTAATGATGGACAGACAAACTCACACACAACATGCCACCTAACACTCACAAACGGCCAGGCACAAGCTGATGGACAAGAAATCCGGAGTGCCATCAAACTTTCTGGGACAACTGTTCAGACTGGCTCGACAATATCCAAAATGGCACATTATGCAGACTAAAAAGTCAACATACAAAACTAGCTTAGCATTTTGTGACAACAAAACAGAAAACACTGGAACCTTCTTTCTTTCTTTCTTCGTTTCTGTGCAGACATGTTTTTCTTAGATAAAAGATATCATATAACTATTGGCACTGGAAGCAGCAACATCTTCCTGTCTTTCCTCTATTATCTGACTATCTTGTATAATTTCTCTGACCCAATGACCTGCACAACATCTTCCTGTCTTTCCTCTATTATCTGACTATCTTGTATAATTTTTCTGACCCAATGACCTGCACACATCTTCCTGTCTTTCCTCTACTATCTGACTATCTTGTATAATTTCTCTGACCCAATGACCTGCACAACATCTTCCTGTCTTTCCTCTACTATCTGACTATCTTGTATAATTTCTCTGACCCAATGACCTGCACAACATCTTCCTGTCTTTCCTCTACTATCTGACTATCTTGTATAATTTTCTCTGACCCAATGACCTGCACAACATCTTCCTGTCTTTCCTCTATTATTTGACTATCTGACCTATCTTCCTGTATCTAATCTTGTATAATTTCTCTGACCCAATGACCTGCACAACATCTTCCTGTCTTTCCTCTATTATTTGACTATCTTGTATAATTTCTCTGACCCAATGACCTGCACAACATCTTCCTGTCTTTCCTCTATTATTTGACTATCTTGTATAATTTCTCTGACCCAATGACCTGCACAACATCTTCCTGTCTTTCCTCTATTATCTGACGATCTTGTATAATTTCTCTGACCCAATGACCTGCACAGAAATCAGTGCCACACTAGGATTATTTATTTCATGAGACCCTTAGCCAGCCGTTCCCAAACGTCTTCTCCTTTCGATAAATAGACAAAGTGACCTGCACCCTCACGCATTAAAAACAGGCTTTCAGACTCGGTAAATGAAAACGCATCAAAAACAGATTTTTGAGGCAGGACATGGTGATGTCATATTTGCTTTTTTTTTTTTCTTTTTTTTTTAAAAATTACACGGCCCATCACAGTGAGACAAGCCTACAGAAAACCTGTTATGAAATATGGGTTGGGAACCCGCGTCCTAAGCAGTCAGACACAGTTCTTTCATGGTAGCTTAGCTACATTTCTACAGCAATATTCTCATGGAAGCCTGGGCCTCCTCAACACAACTGATACCATGAAGACAATGTCAAACTCACTAATGAAGTGAGTGCACAGCATTTTCAACATACCACACCTGACAAGACACTGAACCTGGGACTTGTCAGGTATCCTATAGCTGCCCTACCATACAACCAACATAAATAAGAATGCTCTCATAAAATTTTCTGAAGTGAAATAACACTATGCAATTGTGGATTAGTGCAATCAACTGAAGTGAGTCTACACTGTCGCAGACGACACCTCCTGCAAACACAAGTGGTAAAAGAAGAGTAAGTAAAGGACCCTTGCATGCCTTTATGCATATTGGGCATATAGGGCTAGACCTATATTTTACAGACTAATTGGCACTTGAATTGCAAATGAGTGTGCACTAATGATGCCAGAGTTTCCAGCGAGCAAGCAACATGAAGATCAGGGCTTTTCAACTAAGTTTACTCAGAGACCAAAATTTTGAACAAGGAGATTGTCAAGGGTCAGAGCTACACTACAGGAAGACCATCAACACAATACAGCTGGCAATGATCCACAGGCCACTAGTCAGGTGAACAGTCCTGATATAGATCACCATAGTAGATGGGTATGACAACCAGTGTGTTCATTGCAGGGCCAACACAAGCCTCACGCAGACAAGAGCAAAGGGCAGACAATGTACTGTACACAAGCGAGTACAGACCAGTCTGGTGCTGGTAGGCTGCCCTAGGCAGTGGTGCACCACAGATTTGCTTAAAACAGAGAACCGATAAGAAGGGAGAGAGAGAGACACCAAAGAGACCACCAGGAAGCGTCTCCTGGAGTATTTATTATCTACAGAGATCCAGATCAAGAGCTCTAGGGCTCCACGTGGATGACAAATGTTTGCTGACAGCTGCTTCCAACAGAAAAATAAATGGCTTCTGTGAATGTCTGGTCAAAAGATTCTGTTTAATTCTGAGATCCCTGTTCTAATTCAGTAGATATCTCCCCCGTGCGGGTTCCAGGGCCCCACTGCTGGCAAAACAAGAATAGGCCCACTGCCTCCTCTACAAGCATGTGGTAGGAGTCGACTCATTGGGAACTTCCTTGGAAGTCAGAGTGCATCTGCCTAAGTGGCAAAGAACAACCAACTGCACACAAATAAGCTATGTGTACGCAAAACTCATGTCCTGCTGCAGTCCAAATGGACGAACAACCAGGACTTTCCGCTGGAGCTTACAGCCGGTAGACCATTTTGAGATTTTAAACATCTCGGCCTGGACAGCAGACCAACAAGTCAGATCCGGGATATCACGTTCAGCCACCAAACAAGGTATATTTAGGGCCACCATAACGTCCACACCAGATGTTTGCAGCCTGCAGTCTTGTATGGGTAAGGGTGACCTGACTTGTGCTGTGTGTTCTCTAGAATATGAGCTAAAAAAAAGGCTGCCGATACCTGAGCTCAGGTAATGACACTAAACACAACACTGGTCGCTGGCAACTCCAAACTTTCGTGAAGTCTACACTTAACAAACAAGACATGAAGGACAGGCTCAGGTTTCAACATTTTCTATACAGACGCAGTAAGCTGCTGAATTACAGGACCACGGGCTGACCAAACTTTCAGTCATCATATAAAAGAAACTGGGCAAGTTAGAAGAAGGTACAAAAGTGCCTGCCTATCCACTATCTTTGAACATCATAAAATATCAATACAGTGAATGATAGACATTAGAAAGAGATAAGTAACACGATTAGACAGAAAAACACAAAGAGAGATGACAAATTTAAAGAGAGTATAGACAGACATTAAAAAGAGAGAGTTAACAGACAGAAACAAGCTAGAAAGATACAGAGAAAGACAGAGAGTACAGTATAGAGTGACAGAATAAATTTTGTAACAGAAAGAGGGAGGGGGGGGGGGGGTGAATGGCAGCATCACTAACTTGTAAAAACTAGAAACCAGGATACCCTTATCAAGAGAAAACCCCTACGCCACTCGCCTGTGTATCATCTATCATTTCACCCGCAGTAAAGTGCACAAATCTCACAGACATCACACAATCACTTATGACAGAATGGCCTCTGCTCTCAGCCTGGTCAATCAATCACACGGCACCATCCAGAGCAGCCTGAACCTTCCATTACAGCTTCCACAAGGCTCCAAGGAGTCAGGTATGGCAAGGTAGGGGAGGGGGGTGGGGATGTGGACCACATTCACAGGAAGCACTGCACCCTTTTCACAGACTAGTCCGTGACATCCACCCCTCCAAATCAGCGGCGTCAGAATCCCAGAAATTACACGCACACAGGATCATAGAAATGACCATTTTAAAAAAGCACAGATGCATCACAATAGATAGTAGTAGTCCATCCACAGAGTGGGCCCAAATCACAGAAGCTCGTACTGTCGTAGATGCATTCGCTGGATGATGTCTCGACAGTCGTCAAACACTCGACGAATGTTCTCCGTGTCTACAGCACACGTGAAATGAGGGTAGCAATAATGCCGGCCGTCTCCACTCGCTGTACTGATCCTCTGTGGAAGACAAGTTGCAACAATCAACTTCTGCCTGTTACAACTGCAATAATCAACTTCTGCCTGTTATAATTTGAACAATACACTTCTGCCTGTTACAACTACAACAATCAACTTCTCTTTGTTACAATTTGAACTATCAACTTCTGCCTGTTACAACTGCAACAATCAACTTCCCTCTAGGTGAGTGGTTCTTATTCTGTGGGTTGCGACCCCTTTAAGAGTCTTTTTTTTTTAAAGACCAAAAAACTGTGTTCTGTTATGGTGTTCGAAATGTTTCTCTGGAACGAGATCTAATGAGCACACTGCTTTTATTTATACATTACTTTGATTTTTGATATATTTTATCGAGCCTCCTTTAGCAGCTTGACAGGATAAAATTAATATTTCATTTTACTAATTTCTCTAAACATTATTTAACTACTACTAACACAATTTTTGGTTGTAGCAGTATTCTAATACTATTCCTCAACAACCCCAGGTTGCTTTGATGAATAATATGAGTATTTTGCAAGGCAGCTGTATTAGTATGGTCCGTTTTAATGTGTTCCGTTTATGACATTTCAAAATTGCACTACCACCTCTAGGATCTCTAATGCTAAACCCCCAGGACTAAAATAGTTTAAAAAAAATATTTTTTTTTGGGTTCTTCATTTATAACGTACCCCAAACAGGAAATCCCCGTGGGAAATCCACAGCTGACCTGACAGTCCATTATTTCAAGGGGTGGAAGTGTGCTGTTGTGTGGTGTTTTTTTTTTTGAGTGTTCATCTAGTGTCTTCTAATGCTAACCCTAACCCTAAACTTGGCTGTAGATAAATCGCAAGAAACTACAAGCTGAACACCCTAGAATTTATTGGGAATGTCTCCCGTGACGTTGTCGTGACGTCAGGGGTAAGTTATAAATTAAGTACCTTTTTTTTTAAACACAGGTAATAAATTGCTTACAAATTTATTTTAACCAAATGATACAAACAGGTGAAGTGGTCAACATTACACCAGTACCTTTACCTCGCAGGATATTGCCTGGTACCCATTTTAGGCTATGTCGACCTTGCGGCGAAGGTCAATCATTAAAATCTTTCCCCGTTTTGAGATCTAACCCGAGAACTCTGGACGCAGGCAAGTGGGTGTAACTGTTCATTCAGGTAACTTAAGAACCCTTTTCCACATCTTCAGGTATACTGGGCATATAGGGCTAGACTTATATTTCATAGACCAATCGACACTTCATGGGGTGACCAGACAAGTGGAATCACTCTGTACCCAGGATTGGAAGGCTAGGCTTGGGAAAGCCATGATCTTTGCTACTACATGAACCCATGACCTTCCAGGGCGAAAGGTCAGCGCTAGCCGCTGGATCATTGCAACAACATTCTTTCAGGTTAGTGTACTACAAGCACGGAGAAGTGCAGGTAGCATGTGTGCCTTGAGTGTTCAACTGTTGTCTGTTAAAGCTGCTGTCAGGATTGAAGGCTAGGCTTCTGTGGGAGCCATGATCTTTGCTAGGACCATCTTCCATGACCTTCCCCCCCCCCCCAGCGTCTAGCCGCTGCATCATTGCAGCTCCCATTGTTTCAGGTTAGTGCACTACAAGCAGAGAGAGAGAGTGAGAGGTAGAAGAGAAAGAGAGAGAGAGTGTTAAAGAGTTGTCAGCTGAAGATTTTCTTCTGAGAGAGAGAATGAGAGAGAGACTCCAGAGAGAGACCCCCCCCCCCCCTCCCCCCCTCCTCACAGGCTACAACCTGATTTCAGTGAGACGAAAAACAAAGAAGCACAAAGAATTTCTTGTATACATTAGAGAAGGGTCAGAGACTTGGGGGTGGGGGTGGGGAGGGGGGCTAATATAACCCAAGAGCCAATGTAACACATTTGAGGGTTTAAACTCCCAGTGAAGACGATCACGGATATGGCAAATTTGTCTTGTGAAGAACAATTTGTTTATCCCAGGCAATTTTTCTTGCTTGAATTCTTATCTGGATAAGAGGAATTTCTGATAAGAAGAACTATTTCTTGGGTCCCCGTTGAGTTCTCCTTATCAGGTCTGCACTGTAGTTGTATAAAAGTTTCATTCATTTTCTGTTATTTTTAATCAGCCACACAACAACGAATGACCCCACAAGGCCACCATCTCCTTGTTACGCCTACATTCTAGTAGATGTGAGAAGAAACTCACCAGAAACTCGTCCCTAATAAAGTACTTTGCTCTGACAACCTCTGGGTCTTCCCCTGGCTCGGCAACGGCTGAAAGAGAAAGGGAAACAATGTACACACAGACACGTGTTAGCATACATAGCAAAGCTACAGAAATGATTCCACTGGACGTCTCAGTGTGGTCTGGGGTCCTGTTGTGTGGGGAAAACAAGAACAGACCCATGCCTCCCCAACAAGCAGGTCATAAGAGTCAACTAATGTAGACATCCTTCAATGTCTGAGTGTACCTGCCTGACAAGCAAGGAACCAACAGTCTGCATACAAATAAGTCAGATCTGTTAAATGAATGTGCAAACAACATTCAGGTTCCGGAACAAGACTAAAGCCTAGAGTTGGTGAAATCAAATTTTTCGGTGTAGGAAATACAGAGACGTGTCCCTGCAGCATGGCACCCGAAAATGCTGAGCATGTGCTCCAACACTGTCAATTGTATGCTGACAACAGAGACGCAATCTGGCCTGTTCCAACCACACTGAAGACAAAACTGAATGGTACACGAGAGGATATGGATTGCACGATAGCTTTCATAAAGGCTACCGGCCTCCTGATATAAGTTTTCTGACAGAAGGATCGAAGAAAAAGAAGAAGACCAGAACTTTCCGCTGAAGTTTACAAACGGTGAACGTGAAGAATGGAGAAGAAGAATTCACTGAACTGTTCTAAGAAGCTCAACGAAGATAGAAAGAGAAGGACAAAAAAAAACCCACACAACACAGGAACAACAAGACCTTTTTGCAGCAGGCTTAAACAACAAAATAACAAAAGCATAGGGCTGCCGCATTTTGTGTGTGTCAACAAAGGTTGCTGCCGAAACAGATTGTTCCTTGTTTGTGCGTCGCTCTCACCATTCTCCTAAATTTGTCATCTTCACTGAGCTTCTTAGTCACAGCTCTTCTTGTTCTTCTGCGTTTTGAAGGGAAGGTAAACGCACTGTGACTGTTTGCAACATGACCGTAATATATTTGCATCTTTCGGCCAACACATCCAACCAACTTTGGCATCTTCAAAGTATTGCATCCACCTTTGCTGCGGTGGGACCCTGCCTCCTCTCCCAGACATCGTACTCAAGTGTTTTCCAGGCCACCAGGCCCTTTGACATGACCACAACACCTCTGCATTCGGGCCAGGATGCTGTTTACGAGCCTATTCGTCTTCATGTTCACATTATGTAGGTTGTTGATGACTTTCTCTTCTTAGTCCATAATATTCTAAGAATTGTTCTGTTACATTTCAATTCAAAAGCTCTGATTTGAAATGTCTGAAGTAAAAACTTCTGAACTTCAGCTTTCATTCACTTTCTAGGGATGTATAATGTGGTAGTCTCCCCTTGCTTTCCAAATCCCGGTGGCTGGGCAGCTCAACCTCTTTCAGGTTGAACTGAGCCCTACTCCAGAATCTCGTGAGTGTTGCGAAATGCAACATAGGTATATTTTACATATATGATTCACTTAGGAATACAGAGGTTGGTTCAATATAAGTGATGGGAAAATGCAACATTAGGTAGATGATACTCCGAGGTTAACAATATAAAGGAAAATAGCTAGGTATATTAGGTAACGATTTAAGTGATGGGAAAATATGGACATTGTATATGATAGAGGAAGGTAACAGTGATGGGTCTATTCTTGTATATGATTTTTTCCCACAATGGGAAAATATGGCCCCTAACCACACGGGGAGGAACTCTGATTTGCAAAATGTCTGAAGGTAACAATATAAGTGATGGGAAAATATGGCAACTTAGGTATTGATTTCTAGGGACAATATAATGTGGTAGTCTGGCCCTTAGCTTTCCAAATCCGGTAACAATATAATGGGAAAATATCAACCTCTATTCAGGTTGCCATAATAAGTATAAAATAAGACATTGTATATGATGTTAACATTTCAATTCAAAGCTAACTTTGAGGTATTATAGAAATGTTAACAATATAAGATGGGAAAATAAACTTCTGTATATGATAGAGGAAGGTTCATATCACTTGGGAAAATATGGCAACTTTAGGTATATGATAGAGGAAGGTCTCCAATATAAGTGATGGGAAAATCCCGGTGGCTGGGCAGCTCAACCTCTTTCAGGTTATGATAGAGGAAGGAAACTGAGTGCAACCTAGGCTGATGTGGTGATATCAACGTATATGATAGAGTATACAAGGATGGGAAATATGGCAACATTAGGTATATGATAGAGGAAGGTTAACAATATAAGTGATGGGAAAATATGGCAACATTAGGTATATGATAGAGGAAGGTTAACAATATAAGTGATGGGAAAATATGGCAACATTAGGTATATGATAGAGGAAGGTAACAATATAAGTGATGGGAAAATATGGCAACATTATAGCTCTGATGATAAATATAGCATTATTATGTTTATGATGGAGGAATATAGCATTATTATGTTTATGATGGAGGAATATAGCATTATTATGTATATGATGGAGGAATATAGCATTATTATGTATATGATGGAGGAATATAGCATTATTATGTATATGATGGGGGAATATAGCATTATTATGTATATGATGGGGGAATATAGCATTATTATGTATATGATGGAGGAATATAGCATTATTATGTTTATGATGGGGGAATATAGCATTATTATGTATATGATGGAGGAATATAGCATTATTATGTATATGATGGAGGAATATAGCATTATTATGTATATGATGGAGGAATATAGCATTATTATGTATATGATGGGGGAATATAGCATTATTATGTATATGATGGGGGAATATAGCATTATTATGTATATGATGGAGGAATATAGCATTATTATTTATACGACATAAACCATCTGGAACAAACCCCAAACAATCAGTTCATCAAGCAGAATTAATAAACACTGTGAAACTTAAAGAAAAAGAAGTTGCAGAGGAAACAGCTGTCAGAATCTCCATCAACACCCTTGCAGAAGCAAATGGTTTAGAAGAAAAGTTGCAGACTTTTAAAACCTGCATCCTGAACACAGTGAACCTGAACTGCGGCCTCAAACAGTTACCATCTACTCCTGCTACCTCGTTCTTTTGTCCTTTCTTTAAGGGTTTCTTCAAATTCAGATTCCAATATCTTTGGTTCACGGTCTTTTTAAATTTTAGTTGGCATGGTATAGCATCCGGTGGTCCAGTCTAAAACTACATTGAAATATTCTATTCGCATTTCCGCGCTGTTCCCTCGCTACCAGAGGGCCCTCACAACATCTAGCTTGTCATACATCAGTTCACCACTAAGTGGTGCAGTACCGGAAATCGGAATCGGAATTCTTTGTTTGCTGCTGAAGACGGGGACACAGCGCCTATGGGGGTTTCCCGATTGCTATGATGTTGATTCGTAATTCAACATTCAACTAAAACATTCTTTCCATCTGTTTTTATCTCGATTGCTGGTGAGTGGTTTTTTACTCTTGTTGTTAATAATGATTTATAATGATTTATGGCTCAGTGCATAGTTTTGCTACCCACAGAAAACATATTGTGTCATAGAATGAAGATGTTCAAATTTATATCCAGGAAAAGAAAAAAACATATATGTGCCCCCCCCCCCCCCCCCCCCAAATCAGATGAAGACTACAACAAACATAGAAAAGTGAGAAAAGACAGGAAAGGGAAAGTGAAAGCGGCAAAACCAGAATTTTGGGCGGACAACGGAGAATAAGCAGCAAAATTTACATGAAGGAGAGATATAGTAAAGTGATTTGATAAAACCAGTGACTGAGACACATAGATGTTGAAACTGAGAGCTACATAAGGGCCAAAAGAGCAAACCTACCATCAGGTGGCACCTGGTACCTGGCAAACTCTGGGAAATAGTCTTCTATCTTGGATTTCCCAGCCTTGACCTTCTCTGCTAATAGATCTTGTTTATTTAAGAACAAAATCACAGATATCGTTCTCAGCCACCTGCAGAACAGAAATGAGAACACAGTTATGTTTATACCAGTCTTACACAGGTCACCACAACGTCGGCTCTAAGTCGATGCGATCACTTCGCTCCGGGATGCCGGGTTCGAACCCAGCTGCGGGCAATGCGCCTTGCGTTGGTTTCGACAGTGGTATCAAGAAAGCCGACCGTCCAGAAAGCAATGGCAAACTACTGGACGTAAATTTGCCTAGAGAAACCACACAACAGCCAGGGGCTGTTAGGGTTGGTTCTGCAACGTCCTGTAAAGGATAAGCAACAACCTAATACCCCGGCAACACCAAAATAAAATAAGTGGATCCTGACCCCATGGGAATTCTAGAGCGAGAAAAAATCCATACAAAAACTAACAATATTAAACAGGTAACTTGAAAAAAAAAAATGTTCAATCTTTTTATGTTTGGTAATGGTAAAACGCCGCTGGAACTATGTCGGCCACGCCCTTAGAATGGATAAATCAAGACTTCCTTACCATGCCCTCATTTGGACACCACAGGGGAAAAGATCTTGTGGAAGACCAAGGGAAACTACGTAGAACTATCATCAGGGAAGGCTCGCTCATGGGCCACTCAAACATCCAAGACCTACAACAGATTGCAACGAACCGCCATGCATGGAGAGCCATGACCTCTGCCCTATGTGCCGCACTCGACACAAGAGGAAAGACTAACTAACTAACTAATGGTAATGTTATTTGTGTTTATTTTCCTCCTTCAAATTAGATAAAGATAAATAAAGGAAGTAATCAACAAACATTAAGAGAGTGAAGCATTTTATGGAACATATTCTCTGGGGCCTAAAACAAAAATATGCATCAGGTAATTCTTCCCAAGGCCTCTATCACTGAGGCACAAAGGAAAATCTGACATCAACATGGCTTTAAAAAAAAAATTTGGATTTGAAGAAAACCCTCATTCTGTTATTTTCAGTTAACATATTCATCTCCTGACCTCCTAAATGTTTGCGCAGGCGTGAACACAGACAATAGCATTTACTACAGTCTGATAAACGGTAACTACAGACAAGTCAGAATAGTAACTTTTACAGGGAATTAATCTCAACTGGAAGTGTCGAGTTCTGCAGCTTCTTAGGACGAAAGGGTTAGGAACAAACTAAAAGAGCCTCAGAAAATGATAACAGTCCTCCAGAAAAGAAGTCCCCGAGAAAATGAAACAGTCCCCCAGAAAATGACAGTCCACCAAAAAAAGGAGTCCCCCAGAAAATGACAAAGTATCTACATTTATATTTCAGAGTAAAAGGTTTGATATAAACAACACACAAAAGACTGTTGTTGCTGTTTTGTTGTTGTTGTAAATTCACATGCCCGCGCATGAGCGCGCACACACGCACACAACCTAAAGTGGTGATGACACAACAAATGATGGTAAGTACCTATTGTTCCAAATACTTTTAAATAAATCTAAGGACTCCTTCAGACGGTTCTGAGTGGCATCTTCTCGTAAAACCATATTGTAACCACTGCAGGCTGTGACGAAGATGATGGCCGTCACATCATTGAAGCACTGGATCCATTTGCGTCGTTCATCTCTCTGCCCTCCAACATCAAACATGCTGTGGAAAACATCAGCAAACAATTTCAATTATTAGTCAAATTTCACAGAAAATATTGTAATTATAATTTTTTTTTTCCCAACTAACTTTCTTATTCTTAAAGTTCACGCTGTGTGGCATTGGTAGTCATGTTAATCCACAGCCTTCTGTCTTTGTGTACTTTCAATCAGCTCGGACAAACAAATGATCTTCCATGTCATGATGTCAAATCAAATTGTTCAGCATCTTGTCTTTGTCTGCCTTTGCCCCTCCTCCCAATTCAACTTACCTACTGTCACTACCTACTCCAGTTTTCTCCTTCTCATCACATGACCAAAGAATGCGGATTGTCTCTTTCTGATGTGGGCAATTTTTGTAGTCTTATTTGGCCACGGGTTAGAGGTCACACAGCCACGAATCTAGTTACCCAGGTAATGGTTTTATTGGGTCCGGATGAAACTGGTTCCTAGCCGAGAACCAGTGATGGGAGTGGTAAGTTGTAGTTAATTCTTGAGTGCCCCTAGATTTATCTGAGAGGAGAGTATTTGGGTGTTATCAGGGACAATAGGCTCTGGTCAAAAAGCTGTGTTATCTGTTTTCTCTTTATGAGGATATTATAGTAACGTTCCTTTTAGTGAGGTTTGTGCTTTACCGCAGTTAGCGGGAGACAGTTTGATGTTTGTTTTAGTTTCTAATCGCAGGAGTCCATTGAGTGAAGGTTGTTAATTGTTAAGATGGTCAGTGCAGATAGCAGCGACTTATTATCGTACATACAATAATCATCCTCATCTTGTGACATGTTATGTGAATGGCATTAAAGTTTATGTGGACTGTCACAAGTAGTTACTGTTGTCTCGTCAGGATAGTCATAACTGTATTTGCTTGTGCTGTATTATGCATGACTGCAAGTATTAGTGGCATATTAGCGTAGGCACCCTAGACCTCCATACTTGGTTGGTTTGCAGATACGAAGAAGTATCAGTGCAAAAACATAGATATTATATGGACTAATATAAATATAAATAAGTGCTCTGTATACCTATAGTCTACACAGGAGTTATACAAGACAACAACAGCAATCAGTTCTCTTTTTTTTGAAAGTCAGTTTCTTTCAGGACATCTTCATTACTCTTTTGAACTGTCCAGGGTATTCCCATCATTCGTCTATAAAACCACATGTCCACAGCTTCAAATAACTTGTTACTAATTTATCAACTGTCAATGATTCACCCGTATATCAATATAGCATTTATATAGCTTTTAAGAATTCTCGTTCTCGTCTTAACCGACAAAGAAAAAAAATTGAAAGATGTTAAGGAGAGTTCAAGAACTACCACATCCGGTAGGGGCCTCTATGTGCTACAGGTGTTGCTAGATCTTCATCAGGCTACTGTATGAAAACCAAAACTACTTTAATGCCTGTAATTACACCTTTTAGGGTGGTTTAGGAAAGCTATGAGTCCCATAAGCACTCTGACCCCATCAACAGCAGCAAGTGCAGTTCCAATTCCAATGGTACCAGTGACTGTGTGTATATCCGTTCGGCCCCTCAAGTGTTGAGTGTCAGCCAGCTAGTCACACCTTGCTGCATAATTCTCTCCAGACCTATTCTGTACCTCCGCAATGTTCACTCTCTCCAGACCTATTCTGTGCCTCCGCAATGTTCAGTCTCTCCCAAAGGGCGCTTGCAATATTTAGCTTGTCATAATCAGTTGAACTACTTGTGGTGCAGAACCAGTCAATCTATCTGTCTACATCTTCCATGACACCAACATACTCTAGAGGATATACAAAAAGGATGCTATTATAGGCGGGTGGGACTACTGAAGTAGTGCTTACCATTCTGCATGGAGCATACCTGTCTCCACCTTTCTCAACATGCTCTGTGAGTCAGTTACGATCACAACATGTGTGTACTCCTGGTTCTCAAGCTGGTGGAATGCTACAGTGACCGCCTCCACCTCCATTCTCAAACTAGAGGCTGTTATATATAATTTTATCCTGGCACAATTAAAAACATGGAAGAGGACTTACTGAAAGTTAACTTTATCAACAGTGAATTTAGTTTCAAATATCCCTGACGTTAGCACACGACACCGAAGTATATCTTGCTCTGTCGGGGCGTACTCAGGTTGCTTGATTATGTGCACTCTGTCTAAAAAACTGAAAATAGAAAGAAAACAAATAAAGATTAGTTATGATTGGTGACTTCTTATACAAAACATATTCATTTCCACTTTATGCTACCAGTGCCAGACATGGTCACTCACAACAGACCTAAACAGAAAGTTAATAACCATGGAAATGAGATGTCTCAGAACGGTTGTAGGAGTGACCAGAAGAGAGAAAATCAGATATTAGTTCATAAGAGAAAAATCTGGTACAGAACCAATTCCAATTCCATACAAAGACAGCAAATCAAATGGTTTGCCCACTTAGAGAGAACACACTGTGAAGTCATACCATACAAGACATGCACAAAGTGGGTAGAAGGAGGTAGAGCACAAGGTAGGCTAAGAACAGGATACATAAAGAATAGCAGTAGACACATTAAGAATAGCAGTAGACACTTGAAAATGGCAGTAGACATTCAAAGAATAGCAGAAGACAAATAAAGAACAGCAGTAAACACTCAAAGAATAGCAGTAGATACTCAAAGAATAGCAGTAGACACTCAAAGAATAGCAATAGACACTCAAAGAATAGCAGTAGACACTCAAAGAATAGCAGTAGACACTCAAAGAATAGCAGTAGACACTGAAAGAATAGCAGTAGACACTGAAAGAATAGCAGTAGACACTGAAAGAATAGCAGTAGACACTGAAAGAATAGCAGTAGACACTGAAAGAATAGCAGTAGACACTGAAAGAATAGCAGTAGACACTGAAAGAATAGCAGTAGACACTGAAAGAATAGCAGTAGACACTGAAAGAATAGCAATAGACACTGAAAGAATAGCAGTAGACACTGAAAGAATAGCAGTAGACACTGAAAGAATAGCAGTAGACACTGAAAGAACAGCAGTAGACACTGAAAGAATAGCAGTAGACAAATAAAGAACAGCAGTAGACACTCAAAGAATAGCAGTAGACACTCAAAGAATAGCAGTAGACACTCAAAGAATAGCAGTAGACACTCAAAGAATAGCAGTAGACACTCAAAGAATAGCAGTAGACACTCAAAGAATAGCAGTAGACACTCAAAGAATAGCAGTAGACACTGAAAGAATAGCAGTAGACACTGAAAGAATAGCAGTAGACACTGAAAGAATAGCAGTAGACACTGAAAGAATAGCAGTAGACACTGAAAGAATAGCAGTAGACACTGAAAGAATAGCAGTAGACATTGAAAGAATAGCAGTAGACACTGAAAGAATAGCAGTAGACACTGAAAGAATAGCAGTAGACACTGAAAGAATAGCAGTAGACACTAAAAGAATAGCAGTAGACACTGAAAGAATAGCAATAGACACTGAAAGAATAGCAGTAGACACTGAAAGAATAGCAATAGACACCGAAAGAATAGCAATAGACACCGAAAGAATAGCAGTAGACACTGAAAGAATAGCAGTAGACACTGAAAGAATAGCAATAGACACTGAAAGAATAGCAATAGACACCGAAAGAATAGCAGTAGACACCGAAAGAATAGCAGTAGACACTGAAAGAATAGCAGTAGACACTGAAAGAATAGCAGTAGACACTGAAAGAATAGCAGTAGACACTGAAAGAATAGCAGTAGACACTGAAAGAATAGCAGTAGACACTCAAAGAATAGCAGTAGACACTGAAAGAATAGCAGTAGACACTGAATGAATAGCAGTAGACACTGAATGAATAGCAGTAGACACTGAATGAATAGCAGTAGACACTGAAAGAATAGCAGTAGACACTGAAAGAATAGCAGTAGACACTGAAAGAATAGCAGTAGACACTGAAAGAATAGCAGTAGACACTGAATGAATAGCAGTAGACACTGAATGAATAGCAGTAGACACTGAATGAATAGCAGTAGACACTGAAAGAATAACAGTAGACACTGAAAGAATAGCAGTAGACACTGAAAGAATAGCAGTAGACACTGAAAGAATAGCAGTAGACACTGAAAGAATAGCAGTAGACACTGAATGAATAGCAGTAGACACTGAATGAATAGCAGTAGACACTGAATGAATAGCAGTAGACACTGAATGAATAGCAGTAGACACTGAAAGAATAGCAGTAGACACTCAAAGAATAGCAGTAGACACTGAAAGAATAGCAGTAGACACTGAAAGAATAGCAGTAGACACTGAAAGAATAGCAGTAGACACTGAAAGAATAGCAGTAGACACTGAAAGAATAGCAGTAGACACTGAAAGAATAGCAGTAGACACTGAAAGAATAGCAGTAGACACTGAAAGAATAGCAGTAGACACTGAAAGAATAGCAGTAGACACTGAAAGAATAGCAGTAGACACTGAAAGAATAGCAGTAGACACTCAAAGAATAGCAGTGGACACTCAAAGAATAGCAGTAGACACTCAAAGAATAGCAGTAGACACTCAAAGAATAGCAGTAGACACTCAAAGAATAGCAGTAGACACTGAAAGAATAGCAGTAGACACTGAAAGAATAGCAGTAGACACTGAAAGAATAGCGGGGGGGGGGGGGTGTGGGGGGGGGGGGCTTAGCCCAATTATTTTCCCAGACAATGTGTCAAGGTGGAGGGGGCGGGGGGGGGGGGGGGGCAGCCCAATTATTTTCCCAGACAATGTGTCAAGGTGGAGGGCGGGGGGGGGGGGCCTCAGCCCAATTATTTTCCCAGACAATGTGTCAAATGAAGGGGGGGGGGGGGGGGGGGGGGGGCTCAGCCCAATTATTTGCTCAGACAATTTGACTGACACAGAAAGACACACACGCTGGCAGAGAGACGGACAGAGAGAGGCATACACAGAAAGACATAGAGAAACAGAGAGATACACAGAGAAACTGCGATAATGCCATAAGATGAGTTGACTGCTATAAAGCCATAAGATGAGCTGACTGTTATGAAGCTATAAGATGAACTGACTGCTATAAAGAAAGAATATGAGCTGACTGCTATAAAGCCAGAAGATGAGCTGACTGCTATAAAGCCAGAAGATGAGCTGACTGCTATAAAGCCAGAATATGAGCTGACTGCTATAAAGCCAGAAGATGAGCTGACTGCTTTAAAGTCATGAGCTGACTGCTATTAAGCCAGAAGATGAGCTGACTGCTATAATGCCAGAAGATGAGCTGACTGCTATAAAGCCAGAAGATGAGCTGGCTGCTATAAAGCCATAAGATGAGCTGACTGCTATAAAGCCAGAAGATGAGCTGACTGCTATAAAGCCAGAAGATGAGCTAACTGCTATAAAGCCATGAGATGAGCTGACTGCTATAAAAGCCGTAAAATGAGTTGACTGCTATAAAACCATAAAAGGTGGCATAAAAGAGGTGACTGCCATAAAGCTACAAGAGAAGAGGCACATCCACAATATGAGGTGTCTACGATGAGACACAATAAAGGGGTCGGGCTCGCCATAAGACACACACACTAAAAAGCCAGGATATAAGGTGTCTGCTATAAAGACACAATAAAAGTGAGAAGGGGGGGGGGGAGAGCAGAGCCTCATATAACTCACAGATGAGATGTCTGCTATAAAGACAATAAAAGGCGGATGAAGCTGCTATAAAGCCATAATATGAGGTGTCTGTAGTAAATACACAAGAAAAAGGGGTAGAGCCGCAAATAACTCATAATATGAGATGCTTAAAAAAGACAGGAAAACGGGGCGGGGCCGCCATAAATGCAAAAGAACAGTTGTTTGCTATAAAACCATTTATTTAAGGGGGCAGGGGATGATTAAGATCATAAATGATTTGATTTTCACATTTTCGGATCTATCCAACATCAAAAATAATTTCAGGACTTTCGGCACTGTAAACAACATATCAGAAAAGATTGTCTCACAGTTTAGCACCGCACTGCTCACACATTTCAGGTCAGCAAACAATGAGCTGTTATATGGTTCTCTCGCCGGCTTCCTTGGCTTCCCAGACGATTCTATACATTACCCCCTGTAAAGAACCCGATTCGATCCCAACCAACCCGGTCGGGAACAATACGGCTTGGGGTCGAACTACGCACCCAGTACTGGTAATGCAAGTGAATTAACCACCTGCCATCTAAGGTAACAAACACTGGCTGCAGTTGTGCACTGCACAATATCGCTGTGCCGCGTGACAAATGACTGTATGTCGACGAGACAAATGACTGCAACTTAACGTGGCAATGTTTTTGGCCATACCAGACTCGACCTCAAAGCATAGGTGACACGCGGGCCTGAAGTGGAGAACGCTAAAAATGTATTGTAAGTAGTTTACAGACTGGGTGGGGAACTGTGAAAGTGTACTGTAGTATACAGACATGGTGGGTAACGGTTAAAGTGTACTGTATTATACACACAGGGTGTGGAACGGTGAAAGTGTACTGTAGTTACATAGACGGGGTGGGGAACTGTAAAAGTGTACTGTAGTATATAGACAGGTCGGGGAACGGTTACAGTGTACTGTAGTTACACACACAGGGTGTGGAACGGTGAAAGTATACTGTAGTATACAGACAGGGTGGGGAACTGTGAAAGTGTACTGTAGTTACACAGACGGTGTGGGGAACTGTGAAAGTGTACTGTAGTTACACAAACGGTGTGGGGAACTGTGAAAGTGTACTGTAGTTACACAAACGGTGTGGGGAACTGTGAAAGTGTACTGTAGTTACTCTGACGGTGTGGGGAACTGTGAAAGTGTACTGTAGTTGTACACACAAACGGTGTGGGGAACTGTGAAAGTGTACTGTAGTTACTCTGACGGTGTGGGGAACTGTGAAAGTGTACTGTAGTTACACAAACGGTGTGGGGAACTGTGAAAGTGTACTGTAGTTACTCTGACGGTGTGGGGAACTGTGAAAGTGTACTGTAGTTACACAAACGGTGTGGGGAACTGTGAAAGTGTACTGTAGTTACACAAACAGTGTGAGGAACTGTGAAAGTATACTGTAGTTACTCTGACGGTGTGGGGAACTGTGAAAGTGTACTGTAGTTACACAGACGGTGTGGGGAACTGTGAAAGTGTACTGTAGTTACACAGACGGTGTGGGGA